ATATATCACTGTTGCATTTACGGAATGGAGAAATTAAATTTTCTTGTGTTGTTTATCATCAATTCAGTAAAATTTCAAAAAAAAAAAGAATTGACTTTTTATGCTATTAAAAATATTTGATCGAATCGTCCTACACCGAGCATGAACTAATATCGAACGGGAAAATTCACAGGGTTTGACGTGTGAATTGTGCACTTATATGTATGTATGCCTTAGAGTATACTAAGATAATAATCAAGGTACCTACATTGGATGAGAGTATTAAGTAATAATAGTTTAGCTTGTGATTTTACAATATTGTTTGTAAACAATATTACTTTACAACAACCTCGAAACTATTACTTCTTATTCCTATTAATGGACAATTAGTCGGATGTCACTATTTATTATTCCATTATATTGTACTCGTAATAATAGTTTACCTAGTGATTTTACAATAGGTGTTGATTTGTATACTCAATGGTTTTTTAAATAAAATTATTTCAAAACTATAAGTTATGAGTTATTACTTACAACATTTTAAAAATTAATTTAATTTAATTTTGTTGTTTCTAAATGTTTGTTTKAAAAAAAAAATTACAAACGAGTTCTCAAAACAATAAAAATAATAGCTTATACTCGTAAATACTATTTAAATGTTAAATAATTATTATTTACCACGTTTACTAGGAGTTTTTCCAATAACTGCATCTGCCAACTGCAAAAGCTAGATACAAATAAAACATTGTTGTTTATTTGGTTATAAGTTTATATTATAACTCGTAATTAAAACAGTGAAGTAAAAAGTAAACTTACAAGTAATACAGAAGTTACAAAACAGAACAACTTGAATAATTGTGCCATATTAATTCTAAAAAATAAATAAATAATTTATTCTCAATTAATTGAGAAATATTARTATTTTTAATTTACAAACTAAACTAAATTAACTTCTTATTACATAGGCTTATAGACACACACATTTTTTTTATTAGGTGTTCGATCCTTTTGAACGTGGACTCTCCGTCGCCTGGTGACCGCTCCGGGTCAACCGCTACGGTAACCAAGTTTGTGGAAGCGTCGCTTCACCATCAGCAATATTGGCAAATCTGTTACGCCACCGTTGCCAGCTCTCGGCGCTGGCGAGCCAGGATGGTTCGTTATTCACTCTGCTTCTCGCCGTTTGGTGGTTACGTGTGTATGCTCTGTTGTTCGCCCGTACCTTTGTTTTTGCTCTATCTGATCGTTGCCGTTTATGCTCGTCGGCCATTACGTTTCGATCCGTTGCTCAACGTTATTCTTACTGTATCTGTACAGTCCGTTGATCTACGTTAACCATTACGTGCGGACAACCGTTGCTCTACGATAAGTTTGGCTGTTGTCGTCAGCCCCGTTTCCCTACGCTCAGGTGCACGATCGTACGGTTTAGTTTAAGCAGCTCGGCAGTTAATTACGTTCACCAGTGAATGTCATTAGAGATACAAGTCGTTCATCTACTTAACAGTGCACCCTTTCGTGAACGGTGTACCGCTTGCAGCTCAGCAGTCATCTAGTCATCAGCTCAAGACATCTTTRTCCGCAGCAGTTGTGCAGCCAGTCCGGTGTTCTCCGTCCTCCCTGTACCTTGTGTACTTTATATTTGATTATAGAAATTGTCACCCATGTTGTAAATGAATATACATATTTTGTAATTATTCGCTGTTTATTATCATTCAACATTTACCCTACTTCATAAAGATTTTGAGGACCGTGTGTTAGGCGACAACCGGAATCTAGGATCGCCATCGCAAACATTAGGTAATCTTATTTACAAGGATCAATGAAAATTAGTTATTACTGTTATAGAGTAAATATTTAACGATTACTAAAACTGGTAGGAAATACATATTTAATGATCATTATTTTGAATAGATATTCATATAATATATAC